TATCTTATTCATGCCTTACTTTGAAACAGAAGTAAAAAAAAAAAAGAGCTTTATGCCTCTCATAAAGGTAAGACCAAGGTCAAATAAAATCCCAGCAACATGACAGAAGTCTAATGTCTGAAAAACAGGTGTGTCAATATCCATATGATTACGCTGTACATGGATGTGGAATGCAGATACTATGATTCACCTAGGATTAGTAAGGATGGCTACAGCGATTTAGTAAAAAGTGTAGACAGTCCTGTTTTTTTTTCTGCTATTAGTAAAGGCAAGTGCAGCCATTTTTTGGTTTCTGTTAACTACCTTAGTCTACATTCACCTTCAAACTGTTTGATTTTTATATAAAATAGTTTTGAAAGCGTTATCTTCCTTTTATATTAATTTTGCATAATTTATGTTTATATTGATATTTCTAGGATTTTACCTCATCTTCAGAATCATTTAACAAACACCATAATTCAAAATATTTCATTAAACATATTTATTATTTTAAAGTAAATACAGGATAAGTGCTTTAAGACTTTTGACAATTTCAATAGAATAGGTTTATTTCAAGCTCTAAAAGAGTTTAAAATTCATTACAAATTAATGAACCCGATAAAAATGACCATGGCGCAAACACACGCAAGTGTTCTCATTAGGGATAAAACCAGCCAAAAAATCATGTATAAAGCCTGTGTGAGGTAAGGATATGTCCAGTCAACTATACTCCTTAATTCAATTCTAAATAAAGCCGTAAGTAGAATTGTTCCTACAGGTAACCTCTCAAACTGGACATCATAAATTGTTGGCTATGCGGGTGATATAGCCATATTAAGCTGAAAAGAAAGTGCTTTAAAAGAGTTACTAGAAAAGGCAGACAAGGAAAGTAATAAAAATCGGTCTGGTAATTAATGAAGGAAAGACAAAATACATAGTAATGTCTTCTTCGACAGTAAGTAGAAAGCTGTATAATTTAGTTGTATGCAGTTATTCCTTTGAAGCTGTTGGTTGCTTCACCTACTTTAGAGTGGAACTAAACTACGAAAACAAGGAGAGTGATGAAATGATGAAAAAGGGTACAATCATGACAGGAAACAGCCTACTTCAAGTTAAAAACACTTAAAATGCATGAACCTGTGATAAGGCCAATAGTAAATTATAGAACAGAAACTTTGACCCTGATAGCTTCAGACCAATTTGTCTTGTGTTGTATATATATATACAACACAAGACAAATTGTGTGTGTATATATATATATATATATATATATATATATATATATATACTAACATCAAAATTAGTCATTCGTATTTTTAATCTCATTAATTTTGTTTTAATAATTTTCATTATTTTTTTTTAAATTTGTTGATGTTAGCACTTTTGAAATTTACACTGTTTTAATATTAACAATAGCTATGATGAATGAAACCATCAACAAATAAAACAGAATTAGAAAAATAAATAAAAAAATAATTGGTAAATGGTTGACTGTCGTGGATAATGAAGAGAAGAATAGTTGGGGTGGTCAGTCAAAAAAGAAGGCAAAAATAAATGATAATCATATTATCATTTATTTTTGCCTTCTTTTTTGACTGACCACCCCAACTATTCTTCTCTTCAAAATAAAAAATAAAATAGATTTAAAACAAAAACAATATAGTTCTATTTAAGAATATAAATTATTCACAATTGACAAGAAAACATGAAGAAGAGCAACAAGATAATAGACTAGAAAGAATTTGGTAATAACTGAAAGGTTATGTGACATTAAAATAGTAGTTTGTATTATTTTCTCCTAGTTGAATAAAAAGGAATAAATTTAAAACAAGATAAAGTAGGAATATAAAATAGAAGAGAGAAAATCAATATTATTTATAAAATATCAGATCAGTGATGGTTATGAACATTTGGTGCCCCCGGGAATGACGACTTCTCCTCCCAAAAAATTTAATTTATCTCTTAACTTGTTATATACTAAATAATATTTTAATTTTATTTCATTTAGTATGTCTAATTCATTTGTTTTATTAATATGATAAAATTAATTATGCCTGTAAGCTTTTTAAGTTTTTTTATTCCTAATAAGTGGCAGGCCTCAAGGTCGTCCCCTGGGCAATTGTCCAGGTTGTTTGGCCACTAAGCCACAAATGTCCCAGAGGACAAAAACATATACAGTAATAAATTAGCAAAATGTAATAATTGCTAGGTATTATAAAATATTATATAACTGTATAATGTTTGTTAGATGAACCTGAAGAAGAATTAAAGTCCTAGAAACATCAATGTAAACATAAATGATACAAATAAATAAAAAAAGAAGGTAAAGTTCACATATTGTTATTACTTTAAAAGATAATTAATTAAATCCTTGCAAATCAGTGAAATTATTATCATAAAAAAATTGTTGATCTTCCTATTTTGTTAAAAATGTATTTTAGTTCAAAAGCTTTTGTTTAGAACAAAAAACATTATTATTTTTTTTTTTTACAAGAAATTATTTGTTGTTCTATCAAGAAGAGTATAGGGTTTTTACCCTTAAAACATTTTTTTCCACTAACATTTGTCATTTTTCATTTTGCATGTCCTCAGTGATGAAACTGAAAACAGATTGTAAGCAAAAAATACTGATTTCCTCAAAAACTAAATAAAAAAACAAAACAATAAATACAGAATGGAACAGAGGTTCCAACCAAATGGAAGTCGTCAGAGGAGGAGTATAAACATATTGATCACAAATATTGACTGGTAAATAGACAATTTCATGTTAGAGGACATAACTTTTTAACTACCTAAGAGAGAGAATGACTTTATTATCATAAAAGGGTGCTGCCCAATTACATTGGGTTGCTTTAAACACAGCATACTTATTAATCGCTACAGACAATTTTCCAAAACTAATATACAATTATAAACAAATAAACTAATATACAACAAATAAAACTAGACCCATATTTGAGCAAAACTTGAAACATTTGTCTAATTTTCCAAAAATTGAAGTGCAAAAAAAATTTAAGAAGGAATAGGAAAAATAGGCTTTTTACACGAACGACTTGTTTTTCAAAACTTCATCTCAAATCCCATAATTCAAAGAAAAACAATATGAACTGTTTCTGTATTTACCATAATAAAGACACAGAAAGGTAAGTTTATAATATAAGACTTAACATTACATTTGCCCCACAAAAATTTGCCTTTTCAAATAATCCTATTTAGTATTTTTTTTTGCTTTACTTCCAGTTTTAATTGACATAGCAATGAAAAATTAATCAAATATAGGAGTTTCATCAAAACAAAATGGCCACCACTCCACTTTATCCACACTATCTCTATCAAACCCAGGTGTAGCCTGAGGGAGAACTCATGCAGAACTAACTTGAAAATAGTGTTTTTTGTTGTTGTTTTTTTCCTTAACCTCTATACTATTTACAAATATAAACATACATTAAAATATGACATATTTTAAAGCATTTTGTAGATAATATCGGATGGTAAGGAAACAAAAAAAAAACACTAGTTTCAACTTAGTGCCATATGAGGTTTGCCATGGACATGCTATAGCCGAGAGCATCTGTCTTTTGACAGGTTATGTTAGATCACATTTTTAATCCAAAAAAACAAAATTGGTTTGAAGATATAAATAAATTTATTTACTGAAATAACCAAATGTAAAATCTTTTAACAATAAGGTACACTCAGACATAACATAAAAAAATATAATTTGAAATATTTATGGAAGTCTTTAAAAATATTCTCTGATATTAATAATAAATACACAATATTTGATCACAATACATTATTTTATTTTATACACCAACGTTTCAGCCCCTTAGCCCATTTCCAAGGAAGAAAACCTATTTTAAACAATTAAAATCAATATGGACTGAACTGCCCTTGTCAAACACAACTTAGTTTTACAAATAAAATGTTGGTGTAGAAAATAAAATAAAGTAGGACAATGTGATCAAATATTGTGTATTTATTATTAATATTAAGATGGAATCCTAACGTCCTAACTTACAAGTTTGAATACATATGTTTAACTCTCTAATATTTTTTGTGATACAATGAAATATTTTTATAGTAGTATGTTCACATGTAATATGTCAGGGGTTGGTTAAAAGGATAAAGCCTACTTAGCTAGTTCCCTCCACCAGTAGTAATAAGAGTATGTTTACATGAAAAGATAGAAAAATAGAGAACTAGATCAATGCAGGCTAATATAGATCAGTTTATTTAAATAAAAAGGATTATATTAACCAGTGGAAAGAGATCCAATATTGTTTTTTGTAACAATTATTATAAAGGTGTAAACATTTGTAAACTTTTAAATTTTAAAAAAAGGAAATGAAAATAAATCAGAATTTATAGATTTTGTTCTTCATTTTTTTATCTTAATAATTTTATTCATTAATTTTTTAAATCACTATTATTTTATTTCAATGCATTCCTACTCCTTAATTATTGTAATTAGAAGTAGAAGGAAGTAATTAGAATTAGCAAAATAATTAGAAAAAGCACAGAAGGACCTGATTATCATCAGTTGAGATCATAAAAATTGTCTTCAGTATATTTGTATACTATATTTGCCAAGTAATAGAACCTTATCCAATCGTCAATTATCCAAAAAAGTACAGGAAGTCATAATAATCATCGTTCAGAAACAAGAAAGTAATGTTTATTTCAATATTCGAAATATAATATAATTTAAACATCAGGGGCAATATGGTTCACACTCTTATTGACATTTAGTAATGGGAAGGCTCGGAGATTGGTCATCTCCATATATTTTTGGATACACCTGAATAGTTTTGGCATTCCATGTACAGTTTGATCAATGTGATCTTGGCCCACTTGTCAAAGAAACATGAGACCACTATAAAAGTATTAAAATTCCTAATGAGGTCCAATGTTACGTGGCCAAATAGTAAATTCTTATGCCACAACTGAATAGAAACTGGATCAGGCATGTGGATTAAAATACATAGGTCTTCTGCAATACAGGAGTGTCTATTAACTTACTCCAGTCTCAAAGAACCTACCTCAACAGAAATGACTGATGATGTTGCATAGGAGCTATCTCAGGAAACACCAGCCAGTTAGCTTGATACTCTTCCGAGTAACAGTCAAAGGGGCCAACCAAGTGATTCAGCTTGCCTTCAACATAACAGAAAACTGACAAGAAGATTGATTGAAGAAACTTGAGTTTTTCTGTGTAACAAGTTGAAAAATGTTTTGTGTATGTTTTAGCAAATTAGTAAATTTTCAAATTACTCTATTAGAGGGGATAGATCATTAGATATCAATTGTTTAAAAATCACCATCAATGGTAACTTATATGGACCAAACAGTGTCTGTTGATATTTGGTTCTTGCACAAATTTTAGTATTTATAAAGTATAGGAATTTCTAAATAATTTATCAAGCTTTATTTATCAAGAAAATAAAACAATATTAATTATCAACACTTTTGGATTGTTGGTAACTTAACCATCATCTCTGTGTAATAAACAGAAGATTATTTTATACCACTATGTACAGAATTCTTAAATACTAGTAGGAATAGTCAGTCAGTAAATCATTTATAAAACTATATTTAATTTAATATAGATTTTATACTAATTAATTAAAATTTAAAACATATATAATTTCCAATACCAAAATATTAAAAAGAAATAATTACCACCTCTGATAAATTAAAATAAAAAAAAATAAAGTCAAGAATAATAAAAGGAATTACTTATACCAGACCCATACCTCAAGTAGGATTGAATGAGGACACTTTAACAAGAGTAATGATTTCTAAATAAAATTAGGAAAAAATAATATATATATAAAGGACAATAATAATGATTATTTAGGGGATATTAGTGTCAGTAAGGTCAAAGTTTAATTTAGTTAAAATATTTTCCATCCTCAGACAAAATCATGCTCCCAACTTTTAAAGGTTAAGCAAAACTAATCTACTTTGTAGAAAACAAGATAAAATCTTTATTTTTCCAGATTTTGACATCCATAATATATATATAAATATATATATATATATATATATATTTTTTTTTTTTTAAAGCCTATGCCTCAACTAAAAAGACAATACAAACAATCGCCTCAAAATTTCTTTAGTGCCAGTCAAATCATTAATTTTTTTTTATTAAACCATAGTTCACCTCATAAAAAATCAAAAGTATGCAAATATTCATTTAAAATGGTATATGACTATTTAGAATTCTGTTCATTTTATTTTATTTAAGTGTTTTACTTAGTAAACTTAAATTTACTAATATTCTATATCAGTAAAAATATTAACTAATATTCTAGGATATACTTTAAACTAACACCTCTTAGTTTTACGAAATGAAAACCAACATCGATGACCAAGCCAACAACATAAATTTTGATTTTTTTAAAAATAGAATTGTTTTGTAATGATCAAACTGCCCTAATATTTGTCAATGAATGATTTATTTAACAAGTTATTTTTAATGAGTAATACATTAATGATTTCTACTAACTAAAATTCTATTCAACATCAAATAAATTTCTTTAAACACCTGGCTGTACATGTTGTAAATATCTAAAAAAATTTGTAATAATAAATTTTATCACAATGATTCCTTCACTTGTTTTTTGAACCTGCAGGAAAAATAAAAGATACAATTATTTTAAAATAAAATTAATTGAGCAAATCTACTCAATTCTAACCCTTTAATGCTTAGAGCCTTAAAGCAAGTTATATTAGAGGTCTTCCTGATAGGCCACTCTTGGAAGCGTAGTATGTTCATCCACATCCTGAGTCAAGTTATGGAATAGAAAGTAGTCTAACTTATTTTAAAAAAGTTAATAACGTTAAAACTATTAGATTCAAATTATGTTCTGACAATCTAAACATAAATAAACAGAAAAAATATATTTTTTTCTTCGAAGCTTAGAATTGTTAGACCAGTTTGCAAGGTAATTGACTTTAAACAAAGGCATAATGAAGTGTAGCATTTTTTCAGCATTTGAGACCAATTAACAGTTAATATTATACTCAGACATCAGAACAGGAGTTTGTGAACTCCCCTCCCAATAATTTAGAAATCCAAAAATTAAAAACTCAAGAACTTAGAAGTCCATCAATCTTCAAACATTTTATTCAAAAAGTTTCTAAAATTTAAAACCAATAATGGAATAAGTTTCAAGTTAAGAAATTGGGATTTTATTGATACCAAGATGTGTTTGAAAATAAAAGAAAGATACTCTTATAAAGCGTCAACAGTCACTACGGTAAAAATATTTTTTGTTATAATTTTTAATATTAATTTGAAATAAATGTTATATTTCATTTTATTTATTTTTTTGTCATTTCAGTCATTACAGTAAACGTGGCCAACTCTGCAGGCCAGATATTATAACAATACATTATGATTTGAAGGCTTTATTTTTATGTGTCTGCCAACTATTGAGTCATTACAAAAATTAAAAGAAAATTTAAAATTTTTCTAGTTGTGAACATACTACAACATAATAGTTGTGAGATTAAAGGGTGGCCTATGAGCTAGAGCACTAAATGTTCCATAACGACTCAAAAATAAGGCTGAGCAATGATGGCCTATAGCATAGGTCATTAAGCGTTAAAGGGTTAAAGACTGCAATATTTCCATACCATATAGAATGAAACGTAAATATATGCAAAAGAATTGCCTACAGAATCTCTTAAAAAGTATAGGATACAAAATCAAGTAGTACACCTGTTCACTAAGAATATGACTCAAGATAAGTAATGACAGATCAGATATTCACCATGAAAAGAATAGGGACTAAAATACAAACAGTTGTCATTTATTCATAGCTTCCCAAAAAGCCTATACCTCAGCAAATATTATATTTATGAATATTGAATTAAAAAAATACTAGGCATGATCTGGCTATGTAGGAAGATGTAAAGAACCACAGCTGTTTCAATCATTCCAATCTTATAGATTACACACTAATAGTTCCACACTACAGCTTCATTCAGTCCATTCTACTCTTTGCAGCCTTATGTCTATCTATATTTATTGGTTTTAAGTGACTGGCATGTTTTTCTTCAGCCCTGATGAAGGTCAAAAATCTAAGTCTAAACTTTGTGTCTAATTTCATCTCTGACTGCAACCCCAATCAACTTCTACTATTTGATCTAAGATTAAAAACATCCCCACCTTTATAAATAAATTAAATTTAACAATAACAAATTAAAAAGTTGAAAGAACTCCTATTTCTAAATTATTTTGTTGCCAAGTTTTTGATTGACACTTGTCGCTCACTAAGTGCACTACAGGCGGCAGAACACACTTTTTTTCTCTTCCATAGTAAGGATGAGTTTTTATTTAATTAATTTGAGCTCTGAAAGTAAAAAAATTTAACTTTTCCAGATAATAATGAAAATGTAGGCTTGCTGTCCATTAGATGGTATGACATCTGGTGAAGGGTATGTTCAATTTGAGATATCCATGTTATTCACATAACTAGCATTGAGGTTTTTAAAAAAGAAGCACTAAATAACAATAAAAAGCACTAAATAATAATTTAATTAAATGTCATGAATAATTAATTCGAACCAACATTTTCTGAAAAATCAAATAGGTAAGATTTGTTCAATTTTTTAAAATATCGTTAATATTTTTTTAATTAAAAATTTATTTTTATTAATTTTGTAGGGAACAAAAATATCAACTCATAAAGTGGATCAAAATGTAAAGAAGACTCATTAAATGAAGACATTGAGAGGTAGTGAAATATAAAATAAGTGCTATATCTATATAAATATAAAAATGATTTTCAAGCCATATTTTTATTTTTATGGCATGTTATTATTTATTCTTTAAATGATTTTAGGCCAAGCAGTAAGTACCTGTCATAAGTATAGAGCTAAGCGAGCTTATTATGTTGTGAGGAACAGCAAAAATGGCTTAATACAGAGGTGGTATACAATGGCTATATATCGATTTAAACATGTAAAAAAGAAAATCGCAAACACGGACCACCAAGGGAAAGCTTATTACAGCCAAAAATGACAGAATTTTTCAATATATATATTTTTTTCAAATGTAACTCCTTATCGGTTTATAAAAGCACAAAATATACTCTTTAAGAAATTTAATAACATTAAATTGTGCATTGAATGAGTAACAAACCTTAATAATTTGGTTAAGTAATATGATAAAAACCACTGCCAACTAATGCTGATTTTAACCAAATAGACCTAAAACTGAGGCAAATTACTATAAATGGCCCTGCAGCTTGGAAATGAGTTCTCTAAGAGGAAAAACTCATTGAGTAAAAGTTGTATAGATCATCAAATTCTGCATTCACTCAGTACCAAAATTTTTAATGTAGGTCAATTATACCTCTATTTTCTCAAAATCCTTCTCTGCTGAGAGATGAAAAAAAGAGGCCTATACTACATATAACAAACTCTAAACAAGAATAACTCAGTTGAATAGACATCTATACTGTTGAAATATTGAAAATCAGACATACCTCCATTACCAATTTCCAGCCATTGGGAGATTACCAAATTTGAGTGGAATAAGTAACCTACATTAAAACTTTGTGAGCTCAGAATTCGATACTCAAAAAAATTTTTTTTCATAAGTTTTTCTCTCAGGGAACTCATTTCTAAATTTCATAGCCTTATACAGTAATTTACCTTTTGGTTGTAAAAGATTTTCCTTTATTGCCTGTGTCAGAAATTTGGTTTTTTACATGTTTGAACCCATACATACAAGATAAAAATAAAAACTTTTCCCACATGTTTTGCAATATACATTATTTGAAAGAGATTCATTATGGGAGAAATACTCCCACTGTGATCCTCAAATTACTGGCCTAATATTCTTTAAATAAGCTGCCATCAGTGGATCTGGAATGCCATGCAAGGTTCATGATACTCAGAATAACATACACTTTCATAATTTACATTCCAACCTTCACTTGCGATGAGTACCCTTTCTGGGCCCTCATGACTATAAGAGGCAGAAGAGCTATACAAAATGAAATTATTATTAAAAAAAGATAATAATACCTCATTCAAATCACTATGGATGCATCCCAAAAGGATTTTGAAAATCATCTGATTCAAGCCTATTATTGCTGCTAGTTGAAGATTCTGAGCAAGTATTGAGATCAGATAATTGTTTCACTAAGTTTGTTGTTTCATCCTCCATAACAGTCATAATTACCCAGATAATATCTGAAATAATATTGAAGTAACTAGGTAATAGAAAAAAATAATAGATAAATAAATTTGTTCAAGATATAAGTTTTAACAAATACTAAATATTTTAAAAATACTATTTCAAATAATCATAATGAATAGTTATTAATTTTTTAAGGTCAACATCGTAAATATAAGACAGTGATGGCTGATCTTGGATTGTTATTATAATGAACCTTAAACAAATTCAGCAATGTATTATTCAAATAAGTAGGTTTCATCTTCCTGCTTTTTTTTGTTTTTTTTTCATTAAAGATTCCTCCTAAAAGTTTTATTTTTTCAATATCAACCCAGTTATTTTATACTTTTCACATTGTTTGAAAACTCCCACTTTTTTTAATGACTTATGTCTTAGTAAGTCTTTTTTCAATTTGAAGCTCAAGTAAGAATCATATAGGTAAACCTTATCCCTTAATTATGATTATACCTTTCTCCTTAAATTTCTCTTTCTTTTGATATATCATTTGTCAAAATGCATCTATGGTAGCTAGAAAAGGAACCTATAGAAAGCTATAATACACAGCAGAAGATAGAAGGGTTGTCGACTGTGTTAAGAGACCTGTAAAAACTCACTCAGTGAGTAGGGAAGCATTTTATTTCAATATCTATCAAAATCTAAAAGTTGTTTTTGAATCCTATTTCCTGGGATTCGATAGATAAAAAAATAAATAAATGGAGACAGTACCATTCTCATACTGAGGTTCATAGGTAGATGAGTGACCCCAGTGTCTTACATTATAGATTCAGATTAGGGGTTAGAAATAGGACTAAAAAACACCTTATTACAAAACCTAAAATTAGCCTCAGAAAAATTATCGACTGTCTTAACATGGTAATGACTCCAACTTTGTATCATGGACAACCCATTGGATCGTGGAATGTTCAGAGCTTATAAAGAATAAGATTTGCCAAAATAGTTACTAAAAAGAAGAATATACCATTAACAGCAACACAAGCGGTAAGATAGAAAGATAGTGGCAGAAGATAGACAGATAGAAAGGGGTGAAACAACAAACGATAGCAATACACTATTATGCAATGAGAAAAACAACACAAATGTAACAGCTGCCAGTCAATTTATAATTTATCAAATGGCAAGTAAAATAATCATAAACTTCACTCTGATTAGTACCCTGATAGTAGAATACACCAACTCAAGATAAAGAATGATTTCTACGACTAGTTAGAAAATGTTGTGGATCAAGATCATAAATATGATATAAAATTAGTGATAGATGTCTTTAATGCCAAGATAGAATGAGAACCCCAATTTAGGTCCATTGTCAGAGACCAAAGCCTCCAATTGTAAATAATTTGTTAAAGGTTAATTGTAAATGACCCGTTTTGGGCGGGAATTGTAAATACTCCTTCCGTTTATTGGGGGACTAGGTTATTTACATTCGTGAATACTAAAACAAAAACCCGACACTGGATATAGACTTTTTTGAGGGTGTTTAACTGGTGTTAGAAATTCAAAAACCTAATAATTTTATGACACTGAGTGACAAGAAATAATAAGAATATATTTATGAAATGTGGGACTTAGTAAACACACTTTGAATGAATTGACTCACCTGGTTTGTTATTCTTCAATTGTGAGGCATATAGGACAACTAAATAAAATGACTTTTTACTTCTGTATAAGAAAACAATTTATTTTGACAACTGTAATGAACAATTTGTCCACTGCACAATTGAGTACAATTCATCATGCAACCTCACATTCCTATATATTCCTTCTCATTCCCTCACACAATGCCACATAAAGGAGTAAATACTGGGGGCTATCTACTACAGTGCTGATAGACAGGAAACATCAGATCTACATACAAGATATCGGAAGCTATTATGGAGCAGATTGTGACTCAAACCACATTCAGATTAGAATCAAACTATGTAAGAGATTAAAGGGATCACAAAACAAGGGAACAGGTGGGAATAAGGAGGTATAAAAACCAAAATTTGAAAAATCCTTAGTTAAAACCAAATTCTAACTTGAAAAATAAATTTCGAACTCTTGGGTCAAGAAAGCCTCACAGTACATCAGAGGCATGTAGCCAAAACTGATCAAGCAATTCTTGACTAAACATCTGAAAAAAAACAATCTAGGAAAGGGAAGAAATAGGGAAACATATTTTTTTGAACTGATGAAAGTGACAGAGGATATCTAATACTTTACACATCTGCCAGGAAAAAGACAAACAAAATTATAAGATATACAAAAAGAGGATACTTCAAAGAAAGACTGCAAACCAATGAGGACAACATTCTAGCTAGAAATATATGTGAATTATATGCAGACATCATAAAATGAATGATATACTGAATGTAGAAATAGCTATTGAAAGGCTCCAGGGATGGACAAGTTACTAGTGTAGCTATTTAAAGATAGCAAAGAAGAGCTAAGAGCCAAGCTATTGCAACTAATCCAGAAAATATGGGAAGAAGAAAGGATACTATAAACAAGGGATATGGGAATAATAAAACTACATATATATATATATATATATATATGAAGAACATACATAACATTTTGCAGAAACTGCACTATGGTTATAAACAGGGCAAGTCCCTAAATTCAGCACTGAGCTCATCGATGGTATCAGAAAACCATCACTGTTCTTAAATTCATCAATGAAAACCATTGATGGAATTCAGCATGATCCTTTATTCATCGATTGAATCACTGATGGTTCAGCAGCTCCATCTGCTTCGGGGATTACTGCTCATTATAACCTCCATGTTATTTTCCAATATAATTTATAAATTTATATTCAGTTTATTTCTATCTATATTTATTTCTTTTTGTTTTGAAATTTTTGAAAAAATTTTGAAATTCATCTATGCAACATTTCCACTTTTTTTTTTTAACCTGCCTGGAGTGTTTTCCTCCTAGTCCACAGTACAGACTCCACCCCGTTTTATCAAATTATTAACATCTGTCCAAAACTTCGTAAATGGCTTATTGTAAGTTACAACTTTTTTATCCATAAAAATTCTCAGAAATAAAATGTTTTCTCATTAAATTAATTCATTTAATTAGTTACAAAAAACTCATGAATAACCATTTTTTTCTAGTTGAATTATGAGAGAATTTGATCATAAAATAGAGGAAAAATATTGGGTCATTTGTCCTATGTAACCTCGTTGTTTTGACATTTTGACAGGTCATACGTGATAATTTTATGATCAAATTATCTTATGATTCAAATGTATAGCAAATGGGTGTTCATGAGTTTTTAGTACCTTATTAAATAGACAAAGTTTACCAATCACCAGATTGAAAATGCCACATTTCCGAGGCTTCCCATAAATAAAAAAGTTGTAGGTTATAATAAGATGAAACCATTCATTGAGTTGTATACAGAAGTTAATAATTTGATAAAAAGGGGTCTGTACTGCAGACTGGAGTCCAGCAAGCCATCATAAATTGCTGTACATTGAAGCTGAATTCAATCGATTAATGGATTCCATTATTGAAATTAACGCTGAGTTTAGGAACTTGCCCATAATATCTAACAATATAAGTATAAAAGTAAATTTAAACATAATAACCATATATTAATTATGTTAACCTCCAAAATAAGTTCCTGATGACGTTATCATGCGCCACTGACTTTTGTACACTCCAGGTACTTTAGGAGACACTAAATGAATCAAAATTTGAGTGGTTTCATTTGGAGCTAAACAAGGTACAGGAATTTTTTGATATTCACACAAAGTATCCCCTCCACAAAATTGTAGGCAACAACCTTGAGGCCAGTGTTCATCTCCATTATTTAGTAAAACCCATACTTTGTCAATACTGAAAATTTAAATTAAAAAAAAAGAATTAAAGTAAAATATAAATCAAAGTTGGAAATAACTATATTAAACGTAAAGTTAGAATAACTATAACAATAATAATAATAAGGGCTCAGTTAACCTGAAAGATCGATGCCAATACCACCAATCAGTATCTACATATAGAACGATCTCGATAATCTGAACAAGAAAAAAAAGATCTTGACTGCGGAGAGATGGAATGGAAATGGCTCTGTTTCCCAGTACATATTACTGAAATAGCTTTGAATGGTAATATTGAAATCGGATTGTGGTTTCTCTAAATGGCAAACATTAAAACTAGGCTATCATCCAGAAGTTAAGGAATCTCTTCACTTTACATGTGGTTTTTGCAGTACAGATCACAAGTGTCCACTTTCCGGGAATATATTAGATGAAAAATCTAAGTTTTTCTTTAATAATCTTTATAAGAAAAATCATAAACTAGATTTCAATGGCAGTAAGGTTAGCTTGATAATTTCAAAAGCAGATATGGAATACGTTTTTTATATTATTTTCTATTTCAAAGAAAAATTTCTTTACATCCCTTTTTCAATAAAGAGAAGTCATTGAAATGCAATAAAGGCATTTAATACTTGCTTGGAGTTGGCAAATGAACATAACATCAACTACTGAAGAATGGTACTTTTAACGAATTTGTGAGATTAGGCGTTTTCTTTAGAAAAAAAAAATGAAGTCCTCCCGTTCCTCACCTTTAAGGCCACATGTGGTTTTCCCGGGCCAGGGGGTGTGGGCGGGATTTTAAAAGACTCCCCCGGCACGGGGAGACGAATTCATGACTATTTTATATCAACTGTATCATATATCAGGTTGTCGGGCAGCGGCGGTGCTGTGCACACACATCAACCCAGCCATAATATCTACTTCAATTTAGTTTTTTCTAGTAATCGTAGGCCCTAAATGCTTAAACTTCTATTAAATATGAGCAAAAAACATATTTGCATTTTAACTGCAAAAATATTTTATTGAAATTTGAATGGTTCTGTCTAAAACCACATTGGTAGTATCTTACTTTGTATTAATTTTGCAACAGCTATTTCAACATCCTCTTTACTGTTTTTCTATTAAGAGTTTAACGATCTAGTACTCAGAAAAAGGAGACTTCTATTTCTACTATTTTATTATTTAGATACTCTTCTTTTTATTTTCATCAATTTATATGTTTCTTTCTTAAAGGCTCGAAAGCAGTCAAGATTGTTTTTATTAGTATTATTTAGACCTTTTAATTCAGTGTCTTTTCTTTTTTCCATATGTTTACACATTCTTCGTCAAATCATGATTTGTTCTTTTTAATTTATTTTTTCTGAAGGTATACATTACTAACCTCTTTAATATTATCCCTGACCTCTGCAGAAATGTATTGATAATAGTGGAGACTATGTAAATCTTTCTTTTTTCTTTTTAAACCAAAATCCTGCATTATTTTCTGGGCAACCCAATATTTTGGACCTGTATTGTACCATGAAATGATCAATTTGATTTAGGGTTTGAGAATCCGGGGATGTCATATGTGATGAAATAAATAGATAATTTTGAGATGGAAAAGTTAATTAGTCGGATCCTGTTATAATTACAGAGTTCATGCTAATTTCCTTCACTAATCATCGGATAATATACTTCCTCCCTTTCTGACTTATCGTTAGTGCGTCTCCTAAAATAACTTTCATACAGTTTCATGGAAGTTTATCGTAAACCCAGTTTAGTTTATCATAAAATTCGCATTTAATTTCATCATCACTGTCTTTAGTTGGAGAGTGGATGTTTTTCAAAGCAATTTTAGACCAGTGCGCGAGCCTCAATTATGGCTACTGATATCTTATCATTAAAAAACAGCATGTCCAGCCATGTAGAAAGCAATTTATTCCTAATCAAAAACTTGGTACCTAAACAATAATTTTTTTCTCCCTCGGTACCAAATAATGTACTTTAACTTACATTAATGAGCCCTCCCCTGGCCAGCGAACCTCTAACAATGCAACAATATCTAACTTCTACCCCTTGATCTCCAGACCAATTTTAATCCACCACAAGAAATTAAATATGGAAAATTTTTAACGTTCCACTTTCCTATACCTAACTTTATCTCTAATTCAACTTTATCTAACTTTATCTCTAACTTTAAACTTGTACCATGAATTCCAAAAGCAGTGTCCACCTGGAGACCTGAATGGGAGACCAGTTTACTTCCAGATAATGAAAGTTTTACTTTGAGAGATCCATGACTGTTTGTGGGTATTTTGCGAACTAAAGATATATGAGTAGGACATTCAATCCTGTCACGCCCTCCAGAAAGCCTGGAAGCCGCTCTCATTGTTTGAAAGTGACAATTCAAGTCCATTGGACTTAACTGGAAGGAACTTCCAAGTAATTTCCACCAACCATCCACACATCCACCACCTGTGGGATGCTCCCCTACATGGTAATGAGATCTGTGCGATGAGAAATAATTATATTAAATGCAAAATAAATTAAATGGTTACATTATGAAATAATAGTTATTCACACAATATTATTTCATATTGCCTCAAACAAATAGCAACTGAATTTAATTCTAAAATAATTATTTGGATACTTCATCATTTCATTTTTCTGCAATTTGAGAAATTTAAGACTAGCTAAAGGTTTTTTATTTACTGTTATTTAAGAGATTAATGTTTTGTGAAGGCTGAGTGTGCCCGAACATCATATCATTTTTTCTTTCATAGTCTTATTTGTTTATTTACCTTAGAGAATTTCACCCTTTACAGACTGCTGTTAAAGATTATTAAAGTTTTAAAGAGCCTGAGAGTCTGGCTATCACTGTGTTTTCCAGCAATGGGGGAGTTTTATGATTACTACTTTTTGAAAGAGTAATGGCTTTGTAGGGGCGTGTCCACCTTATTGTTGCTTTTTTTTTTTCTGCACCTGTGAGACTTCATGCTTAGTTTAGAATTAACCTTACAAATTGAAGAGTCCAGCATGAAGTTTCCTTTCAAATGTAGCACTTACTACCATTTTAAGTTTCTCTCGTGTGAATAGATTTTCTGCATCTAACTCTATTGCACATTTTTTTTTAACTTCCTAACAATAGGATTACAACCAGATGGCAGATCTTGGTATCCTCTAACACTGCCAATTCTTGAAGTCTTAGGTGTCTGCTATCTTATTTGCCCTGCATCTTCATAGCATTATTTGCCACACTATCAGTCCATCCCAATAGAGAATTCAAGGACCTCCTGTGGTGATACTTCTCCAAATACGATGGGAAAACGTAAGATTAGATAAATTAAGTAAAATAATGGATTTAATCTGATAATAATTAAAAAATATATTGGTAAGTTAATTGGGGAATTCCCTTTTTAATTATGCAGCATATAACGAGCGTTAATTCTTTCACTAAGAGGGGTGTCAGTACGTCACACCCGGAGTACGTAATTTCATATTATTTTTTCGTTTATTTATATGTATAGTACAAAGTAAAATACAAAATTAAAACAAATAGAAAAGAATAAAAAAAAATAAAAAAATGGAAACATCGAATTAAAAAATTATAAATTTTACAAACAATTTTAAAAAATGTATATTTTTATTTAGATACACAATAAAAAATATAAAAAATTTAACAATTACAGAAAAATAAACAAAAACACACAAATAGAAAAATAGAAATATTGAGTTTAAAAAATTAAAAAAAATATATATATATATATATATATATATATATATATATATATATAAAAATTCAACTCAGATCCGTATGATATATTTTAAAACAATTGTTGATACGTAGTGCTACCTTACAATCTGGACACCTGTATGTAGATTCTTTCCTAACATCTTTTATGTAGCAAACTCAACATTTTCTGGATTTAGTTATTCCTATATCGCTTTTCATTCATTTTGATGGATACTTATAAAAATATATTCTAAAATAAAAAGGTTGGAAACATAAAAAATATAAGTAAATAATATATAGTACGAAAATATTTAGGTAAGTGTAAGTATCTACCCAACACTGCTCATCCAGAACACATCCACCACTCTCAATAGTGAAATGAAACTGTTTCCCTCTATCTTAAATTTATGTCGAGAATACTATGACCTTTGTTGTTTGAAAATATACGTCCTGCTCGTTCCAGAGTGCAACATATATTTCAAGGACGTATCATATGTCCTACCCATACCCGATATTATTTACGTTTGACGTATTTATATGTCCCACTCGCTTAACAGGTTAAGATTAAATTTTTAGCAATATAAAATCACAAAAAAACAAAATGGCTCAGGTTGAATAAAAAAATATATATAAAAAAATGGCGCTCGAACACACTCAACCTCTTAAAAACATTAAATCAATCAAACAACAGTAAATGTAAAATCCTAATCTCTCAAAGTTTCCGAAAAACAAAATAATGGTAAAACAAATAACAATAAACCCTCTACAAAGCTTTAAATCACTAAATTGGAGAAAAATGAAATGATGACATAAGCAAAAACCAAATGGTGGTTGAGCACACTCCTCCTCTCTAGAGAATTAGGTGTCAATAACTTCTATGAATACCAAGTATTAAGCTTCTCATGAAGCAGAAAACTGGATATAAAAAAAAGGCTCTACAAAGGATTAAATATCTTAAAGAACAATATTTATTTAATCCTTAACCCTTTTAAGTTTCAAACAATAAAAATAATGACAAAATCAATACAAATATGATGAGTACACTCAGCCCTTACAAGTCATTAAGGCCTTCCACACGCGGGTCGATTGGAGTCGTGCAATTCAAATCGCTTAAAGACGAGAGCAATTTGAATCACATATCTATGTGAATATCTATCGACCACACATGGGTCGATCAGATGTGGCCGACTTGATTCAAATCCTGATGTCAATATTGAGAAAAGTACCGTCTGGCTCGATTTTATATTAATACATTTGAGTCTTTCATAGAGAAACTACCTGTTTTTTTTCCTTCTTGAAACAGTAGTTGAATTACACAATAATGAGCAGTACCAGCAATGATGAAGAGATTATGATTATGTTTATGTGTTACCGGCGAATTGAAAGAAGACAATGTAGATTATGGACGCATCCGTACATCGAACGATATTTCCTGGCATTTCATGGAATGTCCAAGCAATCATATATCCATCTAGTAAAAATTCTTGCTTCAGTTATACATTGCATGGATACAAATATGAGGCAATGTGTCAGCCCAGAATGGATACTAATAATATTAACACAAATTTTTATTGAAATATTCTTGATGAACCTAAGTAGAGGTTTAGAATCTCTATTGACGTTACTCATTCAGAATAAGAACTCCAATTCATCTGATTTATTCGAATCAAACAGAGGCTTTTGCACCTGCTGGGGAGGAGATGGAATAAATAGGCAGGAAATTAATAAAATCACACAAAAATACAGAGTAATATAAAATTGATTGTATTTATGCATTGAAAATTAACAGTGAAACATTAATAAGTACAAAAGAAACATAAAAATCACACAAATATATAAAATTGATTAAAAATATCATTACTTGTATAGAAAATTAAGTCCTTATAATTGATTGTTGTAAATTATATATTTCGGTGTACTTATCTACTTCCCCAACAAATTTTATAATGAGAGCCCAGAAACAAAAAAAAATTAATGGCAAAATCCCGATAAAAATCACCACAACACAAAATTATTTACCTCCAAGAGTCAATAAGATTGCTTCGATCTTACGATCCACAAGTTTCTTTTCAGATTGCATACAACTTTAAACAAGCCGATTGTAGTTGGAGCGATTCTAGACAGACACTAGTCGACCCGTGGTGTTTTACGTTAATGCCACTCTGTATTCTGAAGCAAAGGAAGCGAAAGGGAGGGGAGAGAGTCGTGCGTTTTGAAACGGATCGACCATGTTTAGAATCAACCCGTGTATGGACGGCCTAAATCACTCAAATAAAAGTAAATGTAACAAACAAAATAATGGTAAAAGCAAGAATATGGTGGTCAGGCACCTTTAGCCACTATAAGCGTATAAATAATTGACTTATACATTAACTGTGAAACCTTAACTCCCCCAATCATATAAATGCATTGCCAACTGTAAGAAAACAGAATAACGGTTGAGCACACTTGTAAGAATTGTAAATGTAAACCTAAGTTATTCACTTCATCCATTAAAAGCATAAAATAATTGAGAGCTATATATTTTATGAGAAAAAAATAATAGATTAATTTTTTTTTTACATATATTCCATAAAACAATATTTTTAATTGAACTATAATAAGCCCAATTTAATTCCTTATAAGTAGGCCCGTGCGAATAATTCGAACAGCATATTGTTAAATGATCAAATGCCAAATTAATAAGAAAAGAAAATAATACAACGTATCATAAGATAAAGAAATCAATTGATTGTATTTATGTATTGAAAATTAACAGTGAAACATTAATAAGTGCAAAAGAAACATAAAAATCACACAAATATATAAAATTGATTAAAAATATCATTACTTGTTTAGTAAATTAAGTCCTTATAACTGATTGTTATAAATTATATATTTTGGTGTACTTATCTAAATGTAATTGCATAAAATAATTAAGTAATTAATAATAATTAATTAATAATATAAATCGATAAAGGAATTGTTTATCGATAAATATAATTGACAAAGGAAACAAACATTAATTTAAGACTTCATTAATGTTTGAAACCAACATGTTTACAAATTTCAATAAGCTGTATCTTTGCTAAAAATTGTCCGATTTCGATTTGTTTTTCCTTTTGTAGGGAATTTAGTAATCTTTTATATAATCACAGATATAACCAAGAGAAAAGTGTATAATTTTTTAGTTATTCGCATATAAAGTTTCTTTTCTTTCATAACTTGTTTGCCTGAATTTTCGGGGTAATTGGACTATTTTGCCCGCCTGAAGGAGAAGGAAGCCTTCAAAACTGGTGGCTCAATCTCGGGATTTGGAGAAGAATTAACGATGATATGGCTTGCTGATTAAAAACACCATCGATAAATAATATAAACTCCTCCTCTTTCAATCATAGAGGCCTCAAGTGGACGAAATGAGACATGTATTCAATGAAAGTACTACAATTAACGTAAGGTTGTGTGGATGCAAACCCTATGCCTTGCGTTATCTCGAAAATAGTACATTTTGGGGGTTAAAAACGCAGGGCCCGATAGTTCCTTCCTTCGGGTCTTGCTGTACGCATCAAAATCTTTAAAGCCCAATTTGTCCCGTATCGATCTACAAGACTTACCACTGTTCCAGTATTGAAGCCAAGCAAAATTTTTGTATCGACTATTTATTTTAGAAAGAAAAACAAAAGTGGAGAACACGATTCGCTAACCCCCTATGAAATTCTGAATCCAACGGTACTCCATTCATGGTATTTGAGCATGACAGGAGCTTATATATTCGGTACAAAACCGATTTCGAGCCATACTGTAATAAGTGTGGAACTATCAATTTAAACTTCTGGCTGTACAATGACTCATTTCATTATAATATAAAAATTCTGTTCAGCTATTTAAATTATCATATATCATCAATAAATACTCTAGATACTTACGCTGTACAAGGAGCAATTTTGAAAATATTATTATTTGGTTCATCTCTAACCAATGACATGGCTGGCAGTTTAAGTGGTATTTCAAAATCAAAATAGGACCCAACTGCTGCTTGAAGATTCCTTAAACCAAATATAAATATATATAATCATTAGTAAGAATATACACATAAAAAAAAGGAAAGAAATCATTGAAAAATGTATAATCAAAAGTAATTTATATTCAATATTCTATTCCAAATCACTCAGGAGCATACTTGTCATAAATTTAAAGGAAAAATTGTTGACATTATGTGCATATAAAAAAATCAAAATTTGGTCAAATTTTTACAAGCAGTTTCAAAATTACTGTCATTTGAAGTTTTAAGACATTTAAACTAGAGGACAAAATGAACAAGAAAACGGCTTTAAATTTTAGGAATTTTTAAAGTAAAATCAATAAATTGAAGAGAAGGATGGTTGGGGTGATCAGTCAAAATAAATAATTGTATTTTTTTCACATTCACCGATATTCCAACCCGAAGTTCAGGCCTTCATCAGGGCTAAGAAAAGAACCAGATAACAATTGGTATAAGAGACAATAAACATTGAATAATAAAGAATTAAAATTAAAAAAGTGAAAGTTATAGACTAAAAATTTAGGTAGAAAAACTTGACATTAAGATAAGAGAAGTAAACGAACCTGCTCTACTAAGAAGCGTAGATAGACAGACAGATGTATCGTAGCTAGAGGGAGGGAAGCTGGCAGATGGCGTCATATATGTTACTGTGCTTTAGTTTGCATTTTTCTATTGGCAGTTACAGAGGGCGCCATCTTCCCTCCCTCTAGCTACGATACGTCCATCTGTCTATCTACGCTTCTTAGTAGCGCAGGTTCGTTTACTTCTCTTATCTTTGTTTTCTACATCTCTCCCTATTGTTATCTGGTTCTTTTCTTAGCCCTAATGAAGGCCTAAACTTCGGGCCCAAACGTCGGCGGATATGAAAACAGATACAATTATTTATTTTTACTGATCACTCCAACCATCCTTCTCTTCAATTATCCACTATGGATAACCTAACCATCAATCCACAATTAAAATCAATAAAGGATTAAAAAGTTGTCCATTTGTCTTAAATATTATGGATAATCAATACTACCATAAAACTAATCCAGAAAATATAGGAAGAGGAAAGGATACCTGAGGCTTGTAATATGGGCCCAAGCTGTCCTATCCTAAAGAAATTCTCCATGTATGAATGTAGTAATTACAGAAGCATAGCACTCCTTCCAGTTGCCTACAAGATAATGACCAATATCTTATTAAACCGGATATATCTGTATTACGAGAATATAATAGGCGACCACCAAGCTGGATTCAGAAAAGGGAGGAGCACGCTAGACCAGATCTTCATCCTAAAACAAGTACTCAAAAAACGATGGGAAGTAGCTCAGGACGTCCACGCCCTATTTGTCGATTTCAAAGCAGCCTATGATTCTGTGGACAGGAGCTGTCTTTGGAAAATCATGACTGAATTTACTGAAAATCATGAACCGGGAACTGGGAATTCCCGGTAAGTTGGTGTTATTGACAAAGCTGTATACAAATGGCCCCAAATGTAGAGTCCTAATACAAGGAGAAGTATCTGAAGCCTTCAAAGTTCGAACGGGCTTACGGCAGGGAGATGGACTATCACCGATGTTGTTCAACTTAGCCCTGGAGAAGGTAATAAGAGCAACATCACAGGAAAATGGAGGGTCCACGTCGGAATGAATCATAAAATCCTTGGATACGCAGATGATATAGCTGTCCTTGGAAGTAATCAAGAAGACATTGAGAAACTCGCTACAACACTGATAAGAGAGGCAGAGCAGATCGGCCTACAAGTAAATGAAGACAAAACAAAATATATGATAATAAGCCGAAAATTCCACCCAATAACAGGATCTGCGTAGAAGGAAAATCATTCCGAGAGTAGAAAAATTCAAATACCTCGGCTCCACAATAACCTCAATGAATGACCAACGGGCAGAAATAGACCAGCGTATAACTAGCGCAAACAGAGCTTTCTTCTCCCTCTCAAAGGTATTGAAATCCGAAAAATCTCAAACTAAGGGTGTACAATGCTATGATAAAGCCAGTTCTAATATATGGCTGTGAGACCTGGACACTAACCAGCACCCTAGAAAAAAGTGTTGAAAGATTTGAGAGGAAAATCCTCCGCACGATAACCGGAGCGATCTGGATCAGAGTACTAACACATGGAGAAGAAAGACCAATAAAGAACTGCTTACAGAAACTGGTCAATCAATATCCCATGATATGAAGGCACGGAGGTTAAGATGGGCGGGCATGTAGCTCGTAGCAATCCATCTGGAAGCCTCTACATAACAATGAATGCCTCAATAGAAGGCAAAAGACCACATGGAAGGCCAAAAAGCAGATGGATAGATAGAATCAACAAAGATGCAACAGAGCTGCATGCAGATAAATGGAAAAAAATAGCCCAAGACAGACAGAGACAGAGCAGGCTTGTTAAGGTGGCAAGAGATCTACATCTAAAAGATCTAAAGGCATGGTCTGTAATGTCAACAGAAAAAAAAAATAGGACAGCTCTCAGAAAAAGTCATGGAATAAAGAGGTATATGCCTGTTTTGTGGACCTAATCCAAGCATTCGATGAGGTCAAAAAGATGGACATATACAAAGCACTGTACGAGCATGAAGTCGATCCAAGCCAAACAAAGGCCATTCTTAGTCTATATAAATAGAAAATAAACGTGGTCCGAATCAATAACTATGCATCTAGGGAGTTTCAGAATGCAGAAGGAATTAGGCAGAGCTGTACTCTAAGCTCTTTTTTGTTCATAGTAGTCCTCAACATGGCACTGAAGAGAGCTGAGGAGAGAATAAGACCTTTTAGGCTGTGCTACAGAGAGTTAAGAACAGTTCATCTAATCCTCCTGGCATATGACAACAATATTGTAGTATTCAGGAACAATGGAAGAAACCTCCAAAACAACCTCTGAGTCCTCCAGGAAGAACTACAACTGCTTAACTGGAAATAAACATCAACAAACAAATATAATGAGAATAGCTAGAGGAGAAGAGAGAACGAGTACTTCGATTGAAGGGAGAGGAACTGGAGCACATCAGAGATTTTAGATATTTTCTGTTTGTTTAAGGATAATTGAAGGTCTAGAGTACTTTTCAATAGGATCAATGCAAATGGAGTAGAATATTGGGATTGAAAACCACAAGGTAAAGGATTGAGGAGGTTTCGCTCAAGGAAGTTATTAAGCTGAATGTGGACTAATCTTTCCAGTGGCTAAGTCATAATGGATAAAATGAAGTTATGCCTGAAGTCGGAAGCAGAAGAAGGAACAGGAACTATATTAAAAGGGTGAAATACAACTCTTTTCCATTCTTTGGGAAAAAAAAATATCAAAGAGAAAAATTATACAGGTGTGAAAGAATGCCTAGAAGTCTAATTTTAACTGAAAAATAGTCATTATTTTTAGGCTTAACATATTGTTGACCAGTACGAGTTAACTCATCTTTTCATGCCCAAACATTGTTTACCAGTGGCGAGTTAACTCGTCTTTTCATGCCCAGACATTTTTGATTAACGATGAGTTAACACGTCATTACAATTGCATTACAAAATAATAGCAGGTGACATGACATGGTTTATGTTTAAAATTGCTGGTTAACAAAGTTAACAAAACAAAACAGGGGAGAAATTTTATATATATATATATATATATATATATATATATATATAACACACACATATATATATATATATATATATATATATATATATATATATATATATATATAACACACATATATATATATATATATATATATATATATATATATATATATATGTATATGTATATATATATATACTTTTTTTTTTAAATTATTTTGTCATTGCACTTGCATTACTAAATAATAGTCAGTGACAGAACATTGTTTCTGTTTAAAATTGCTGGTCAAAATAGTGTTAAGGATAGCAGAATAGGTCATCAGGAGAGAATTTTTTTAGTGAACTCGTCATTGTACTTTCATTATAAAATAATAGCTGGTGACATGAAATGGTTTTTGTTTAAAAGTAACAGTCAACAAAGTGTTAAGGATAACAGAATAGGTTATTAGGAGAGAAACTGAATATGTAAAAACTGTTAGGGTCAATCAAAAGGAGTTTCCGGGATGGAGTTAAGTGATGGAGTGGGATGGAAAAGAAATTACATGAAAAAGAAAAAGTCAGCAAAAAATAATCAAGCTCATCCAGATTAACTGGATAATGTGTACAAGTTTTACAACTGACAGGGAGAGCTTCTTGAGGGTTTTCCATTTTAATTTAGGATTGAGTGCATGGGATAATTGAAACTATTGTACCTTGGCATGGCACACAGATGTTAGCATTAAAGTTTGAAGAGATTTAAAGGGGGAAATAAAGGATTTATGGGCATATGTATGGTCTTCTTGGAGCATCTCTTCTACTAAATCTCAGATTTCCGATAACTCCCCAGGTAATGGGGGAGGAGGAGGTCTGAAAATATAGATTTTAGGGAACAATAGGTTGGTGATTATAGAAAGTAATGAGACTTTAAAAGACAGGCATTTAACCATCTTAGATACCGAAAAAAATTCTTTTAAGGAAGGATACATATGAAGAGAAGGAATAATGTTTCATAATGGTTTGACAGAATCCAACTTAGGTTCCTGCTCACGTATTCTATAACTCCTTTATTGACTGGACTATAACTCTAGAAAATTACTTTATACATTCAGTGGTACATATCGCTAAAATAGGTATGATGCCATAATTGAAACATCATTGTGTTTTATTTACAATGACTTTTAAACATGATACATAATTTGTCTACTCTGTTCAGAATCAACTATTACTATCATTAAATTGGTCTAACCATTGCCAAACAAAGGCAAGTACTTGCGATAATTATAGTTTACATATTTATTAACAAATGAGTAACCCGAATTTTCAGTTATTACAATTACATATATTAATGGTCAAAAGTTTTAAGGAATATAATATTATAAGATAATAAATTAAAAAAAGTTAATCACAGAAATTCTCTATTAAACTAAATAAATTCTTTACTACCTCTTTTAAGTTCTTAACATTCTCATTCTAATTAGACCTAAACGAAACCATTTTCTGCTTAACATACAATTCCTTCTCAGGAACAATTTAAAAATTAAAATCCATGCATGTTTTACCATGTATATCAAAGAATGTACAACATAATAATTTTAGCCTTAATTTTCATAAAAATATTACATAGCGAACTGAAAATTACAGTTGCCAAAGACACATTGAATAAACATTTAATATTAGAATTACAAGTGAAAAACGTCCCACTTCATCCATTGAACAAAACTCAATGTAACTATACATCTTAACAATAAAAGAACTTTAACTAAATAATAGTTAATTCCTAACATTTCCGCTTTCATCATAAATCTTAAATATAATTTAAAAGTATTAGATAATATTCAAATAATGAACTATTATGAAAATATAACAAAAAAAAACAAGATCATAGTTTCATTATCATTATAAGCTTAACTAAAAATAGCTTAAAATTATTAATTTATTTTTTTGTTAAGAAGATGAAACATAAAAATTACAAACCAGTTATTCATATCAAGAAGGAAAATAGCCGAAGCTGTGCCGATATGATTTCCAACCAACATTTTTAACTGTTTAACTAATTCATCTTTATCAGTAGTCCCTAAACATCGAAATTGTTGTAGTAACTGTTGATCAACAAAATCTCCATCTGTTTCCATCGTTACCATAATAAAAACATATGAAAAATCCAAAAATGTTTAGGGGCCCACAAAATCTATTTAATAAAACATGAAATATTTATTGACAGAATAACATCGTTTCTAAAACAAAATATAACCCATCCTATGAAAGTTTCCGAGAGCAAGTTTTAGTTAATCGATGTTATAAATCGACACAATTATGATTTCTACATGCACATCCAATTTTTTTTTTTCGATTTCTTGTAGAACGAAAATTAGAAAATGTTTTATAAATTAAATAAATTACCGCCCAGTTTTAATTTTATAACACCTACGGTTCATTAGTTATTAATGTTACGTCTACATACCAAATAAAAATATTTTTAACACAAAAAATCAATAAAATTTCAAATTAAAGAATATAATATTTTATTAATTAAATTATATTTTCTTTAGAGTGAAACAAGGTCAATATAAAAATTATTTATGACTCCTTGATTAAACTGCTACTAATACCTCTTTGTTCTGTTCTAAAAAATCATAAACTATCTGATTCAATTCCTAACCTCAGTGTTAATTCCACTGATACAATCAATTAATCGATTGAACCAACAGCGGTTTATGCTGAGTTCAATAACTACCTGCTGGATTCCAGCGCAAGGTTGACACTTTTGCAGTACCAACAATATATAAGGTATTTTCTAACACACTCAATAATAATCTACGTCATTTTGCGAAGAGGATGATTGAACACTATCAGTGTTACTTCAATAGGAGTAACTCCACCACCAACCAATTGTTCACTTATCTTAAAGTGAATGTACATTTTAGCGAATGTAAACATAAATAAAATTACTTATTTTTACCATTTTAATTTGACTGATCACCCCAACCATCCTTCTCTTCAATTATTCACTACAGTCAACCATAAACCCACAGTTATGATTAGACTTTTTATTTAACGGAAGGACAATGGCTTTTTTACCGTGTAACTTCGGCACATTTAAGTCTGGTTGGATGCTTCTAGCAAAAGATGATGCTTGGACCTTTGAAGAGTTAAGTTTGCAGCTTACATTTTACGAGAGAAATTCAGGTTAGCAGAAATAAAGTGGCAATACAGGCTAAGAAGCTTTATATGTTAAGTCTAACAAGGAGAAGGAAATTGGCAATAAAGGTAAACAGAATTCTAATATCCCACATCTATATTCACAGTCTAGACCAAGAAACGAGTGTAACCATTGCCATAAGCCAGGTAATTGGAGTCCTCAGTGCAGAAAGTGGATAGCAGATGCTTGACCTGCACGTCTTGGAGGAGATGACACAGTAGTGGTGTTCAGAGTAATTTAGCAGACAGCACCGTTGCTCTAGTATCAATCCATAATGAAGTTTTAGCTGCTGAGGAAAATGCAGAAAACAGGTGGGTATATAATGGTGCCACTACGCATAATACGAATCAGTCTGATTAGTTTACGTCATTCACTAAGTTTCAGAGTCCGTGTAGCATCAAAGCAGCCGGGGAAGAGCGTCTGAATGCTGGCGTCTGAAACAGTGGCGTTATTGATGTACTTTCCGTGGTCAATGGTAGGGGCCAGCGTTAGCAACAGGAGGATGTTTGGTTGGTTCCTAAAATTGCCAACAATTTATTTTCTCCACTAGCTGCGCACGATAAGAATCCTATCAGCAGGTTTTAGTCAACATTCACCTCCTATACATTTTCTTTCATTAGTATTCCAGTAGTGATAGGTGTTAAAGAGCAGGATGGTTCGCTGTTTAAAGCAGAATGAAGGCTTTAAGTCCGAAAAACAGCTCTTCTGTCACCTTGCAGAGCACAGAGCTCTATAGCAGCTGCACCACGAGAGATGGGGCTACCAAAATAAACGCCACCTCATAGAGAAGCTTGAGCAAGAGCTAAACACCAATGTCAAGCTCGAAAAGAAGATTTGTGAACCGTGTATTTACGGTAAAGCTCATTGACTACCAATTGGTACTAAAAGAAAAGCATCAAAGCCAGCTCAGCTCATTTCAACTTATGTTTGTGGATCTTTACAAGAGTCGGTACTTTGTGTCTAGAGGTCCGTTTTGAAACCTCACTTCTTATCTATCTTATCTAACGCACGTCACATAACCTCCCTCTTCTTACCCCGCCAAATTTTTGAGTTATTGCATTGTTTAGTTTTCAGTTATTCCTTTATTACGTTCACTTATTAAATTGTTTACTTTTGGCCCGTTTGTGTTTATTTTTCATTATTTTTAGTTTTTGGCCCGTTTGTGTTTATTTCAATTTTTTTTTTAGTTTCTGGCCTCTTTGTGTTTATTTTCATTTTTTTTTCGTTGTATTTAAGGATAGTTACACTAAATTTCGTTATGTTTTTTTTTTTTTTTTTTGGGTCCTCCCCTTCCACGCCGTTAAGGCTATACGGGGTTTTCCCATGCCAGGGAGTGTGGGCGGGGATTTAAAAGACTCCCTCGGCACCGGGTCGCGAACTCGTGACTATTTTTATATCATTTGATTGATATATCAGGTTGCCGAGCAACGGTGGTGCAGTGCACACGCGTTAGCCCATTCGGCTACCCCGCCCACTATTATGTTTTGTTATAACAAAGAAGTTTGTGATTACAACAGTTTTCAGACAGATGTAGGCTCATGCAGAAAAGCAAGGTCACAACGTCAAAGAGCTCCTTAACGATAATGGTGGCGAGTTTGACAATACTAAAGTTCGAAAGTTATTGTAGAAAAAAGGTGTCACTTATAGGTTAACTTTTCCTTGTACTCCACAGCAAAATAGCGTTAATGAACGAGAGAATAGAACGATAGTGGAGATGGCCAGTACATTCAATTTACTCAAATTCTGATGCGGAGTTTCCTTAACTTCGATTTGGGACAAGCTCGCTACCACAGTAGTCTATACCCTAAAAAGAACAGGAAAACCATCCGAAATTAGAATCAGTCGAAATGAGCTTTAGTTTCGCAAGAAACCCAGAAGCAGTCATCTTTGAATCGTTGATTCAACCTGATATTTGCATATTCGGCACAAAAATAAATAAGATGGATAAAAAAAGCTCAAAAAGGTTACCTCATAGACTAAGATATGCAGGATGTTGTATCGACAGAGAAAATGGACCTTGTTCAGTTTGACGTATCAACAGCTTTCTTGTATGGTGAGCCGGAGGAAACTATCTACAGTGATGGAAAAAAGTATTTGCACAACACGTTTTTATGAATAAAGTAGTTCAAGGAAACAAAAAACTTCGCTTTCCTTTGCAAAAATGAAAAGTAAATTTATAGAAAACTGAAAAAACCTTTTTACGAAAAAAATAAAAACACTTCATAATCAAACAAAAAAATTAACACAATAAAATTGCTTGGAAAAAAGTATTTGCACACTTCCACCTTTATTTTAAATTTTAATAGTTTTAATATTTTGTAAATAGACCATTTGCGTCAATAATTGCTTGTAGACGTCTGGGCATTGAATGCACTAGGTTTTTAATTAAATCTACGTTTATTTGTTCCCATTCTTGAACAAGAAGTTGTTTAAGGTGATGTCCACTAGTGATATGGTGTTTTCTTACATTTTGGTCAAGGGTGTGCCATAAATTTTCAATGATATTTATATCTGGTGACTGAGGAGGAGTGTGGAGCTGTCTTGGAACATTAAATATTAACCACTCCTTTGTTCTCCTCGCAGTATGTTTTGGATCGTTGTCCTGCTGGAAATAGTACTGATCCTGGATTCCCATTTTTTCGGCACTAACACGCAAATTACGTCGCAAAATGTTCACATAGCCTTCTAAAAACAATCGAAACCTAAAAGGAAATTAATTTGGAATGTGATATGTAGAAGCTGAGGTAGAGTTTAAATCCATCATAAACCTACAAAAAATATTAATGAGGAAACACCAGTAAAATTCATTATAAAATAAATAGCCACAAATAAATATCTTAATATCTAACAGTTAAATCGGGACAATATTTGTACTAATACCTGTTTCCAATATTTATAATTAAATTAAAATTAATTGTTACTATTTTCAACAGTGAAAACCCAAAACTGGTATTATCAGTATTTCCATACATTTAGCTTAATTGTAACTGGAAAGAAAAAGATAAGATAACAATTATTTACCACCAAAAACCTGAAATTCTTACAGCTAATGAGCTGTATTAATAACTAAAACTGAAAACATTAACATAACAATTTCATAAATATATTATATTAAAAAAAGATAAAGTCGTTTGAAAAACATCAATTTCACAAGGCTCGTTTATATATAGATAACAAGAAATAAAATACGAAAACACTCAAATACAATAACAATTGTTAACGGTTGTACGTATACGTACGGTCTGTTTATATTTTAATTTACTTACTGTTTATAATTTTAATAAGTTTATTCACATTTTTTTATAATTTTTTGTCTAAATACCATGTAACTTCCACAATTCTCTATATCTTTTTGTATCTTGTCCGTTCTAGCCTTGAAGAAGACCTGCAAAGTCAGGTCAAAACGTTGGCTTTTAATAAAATAGTTTTGCCACTATTTAGTCTATTTATGACTGCCACCCCGGACCATCTCCTTCCTTAATTATGTAACGGTCAGCTATTAAATATTCGATATATTAATAAAAAACACCTAATAGCAAAAAAAATTAAATATAAATTATCCTTGTCTAACATACGGATTATGTTCTTATCATCAAATGGCGTAGCTGGAAAATGTTTTTGCATCGGGCCCAACGATATAAATATTTATTATAGACGAAGAGGCCAACTAAGTCATGAGAACGTCCACCATTTTGCCCTTACGAAGTGAGACCACCTTACTTTTTATACATCTTGATGTAGTATTACCTCTATGTATACCATAATACTGTTAATCTATAATGTAAACAATGTTTGTAGGGTCCTAAGTTGATATTGAATTATTAGTTAAACTCCCTGTTGTGTAGATAAGATTGAACGATGAAACAGCGATATGGATTGGTAAGTAGTTTACTTCAATAGTTACAAATTGACAAATAGGTCATTTTGTGTACAACCGTTAACAATTGTTATTGTATTTGAGTGTTTTCGTATTTTATTTCTTGTTATCTATATATAAACGAGCCTTGTGAAATTGATGTTTTTCAAACGACTTTATCTTTTTTTAATATAATATATTTATGAAATTGTTATGTTAATGTTTTCAGTTTTAGTTATTAATACAGCTCATTAGCTGTAAGAATTTCAGGTTTTTGGTGGTAAATAATTGTTATCTTATCTTTTTCTTTCCAGTTACAATTAAGCTAAATGTATGGAAATACTGATAATACCAGTTTTGGGTTTTCACTGTTGAAAATAGTAACAATTAATTTTAATTTAATTATAAATATTGGAAACAGGTATTAGTACAAATATTGTCCTGATTTAACTGTTAGATATTAAGATATTTATTTGTGGCTATTTATTTTATAATGAATTTTACTGGTGTTTCCTCATTAATATTTTTTGTAGGTTTATGATGGATTTAAACTCTACCTCAGCTTCTACATATCACATTCCAAATTAATTTCCTTTTAGGTTTCGATTGTTTTTAGAAGCATAATACTTTGGCTTCGATTGACTTAAAAATTTAATTTTCTAATCATTGCATCGTTCATGTCAGTTATTCCATATACAGCAAGAAAATTGTTAAAATGATTGTGTAATTTGCCAATAACTATATTATTTTTTCATTATTCATTTATACTAACATGACATTTTTCCTTTGTAACGGTGTGAATAATTTGTCACAATAGAGTTTGCTGATTATTTAATGAATTTCCTTATACTTGTCTTTTAATTAATGAGATAATCATGGGTTGGTGCTGTCACTATCTGCCTCTTAGACCTCTCATGGACTGTTTTGATATGTTTAGGATTTAAGTACTGTTTGCCTATTCCTTATGATTCTTTTAATATTCTTATTTTTTTTAATATATGTGTATATATTTATGAAATACAGATTGTTTAAAACATTTTCTTAGTTAAAAAATGAAATCAGAATCTTAAAAATAATTATTTTATTTATTTATGATATTTATAACTGTATTAAGAATTAAAATACATTTAGTAAATTTGATAACAGAAAATAATAACATGAAATCACTTGTTGAGAAACTACACAGCACTCTAAACAAAAAAAAATCTATTTACAAAAGGAGATCTCGAGGCCATCTTCTTTTCAGATGCCTCGGAGAGTTATCAAGGATAGAAAAGGAAACAAGGTTAGAAACAAGAGGATTCGGATGGTTATGAAGTTTATTATGGAAGGATAGGTATCTGGATTCGAGCAAATCGGAAACATAAGGAACATTAAGGTCATTATGGATTATTTTATTGGTGGCAAAGTAAGGGAGCATAGAGGATTTTGGATTTTAAGGATTAGATTGGTAAGGAATTTGATGGCTTTGTGGTGCTCGAAATCTCAACTCCGTAAGTCTAAATAGGTCTTATTGTAGTAATTTATATGAGTTTTTTGTAATTAACTGAAAGCTTAGAGCATTTGTCTTGTAAGTTCTGGAATAGTCGGAAACGTCGAGCGGTTTCTTGTCGTTTCAGTCTGGTATAAGGATTCCAAGTTGAACGTTTGTCAAAGTGGAATCCAATGTATCGGATTTGTTCAACAATGATAAGTGGGGTATTATTAAAGGATACTGTAGGACAGGAAGTCATAGATTTATGACTAAGGGCAAAGGTGATTTGGTGGAATTTAGTTTTTATCAGTTTTGACACCATTCTTCGAGGTTTGTGATGTGTGATTGAAGAGTTTGGGATGCAATTATTAGGTCATTATTTACTGATAGGAAACTTGTCATTGACATATCTTTTAATTTTATTTACTTAATTTTGTTTTCTTTTCTTTCTCCACCTCCACCTCAATGGGTTGGGATATCAGTTGTATAAACTATGCAAAGGATAGGACCTAGAACACTACCTTGAGGAACACTAGTGGATTGGTATAAAAGGGATCAGTAAGCGTTATTGTGATTCACTTTAAAGTATCCATCAGTTAAATAATAGGAATGGATAATGAGGAAGTATGTAGGAATTTACGGAGATTGTAAAAAAGTCCTGGGTACCAGACTGGATGAAAAGCCTGTTCTAAATCAAGAAAGACTCCCGTGCAGAACATTCCGCGCTCCAATGTAGAGGAACAACATCCACCACACGATGGCATTGCTGGATAGTGGAATGTGATCTGCGGAATCCAAACTGGTGATCTGGGATTATGTGATAAGAATCTAGGATTGGGTACAGGCGGTTTAGTCTGAGTTTTTCCAGTACTTTACCCATGATGGGTAAAAGAGAAATAGGACGGTAAGAGAATGGTTACTATGGTGGCTTTTTGGCTTCTATGTATTATTTTGATAATGGATAGTTTCCAAGGGTGAGAAAAATATGTGGGTCAGAGCATAGGATTATGTATATAAATAAGGAATAGAATGGCTTTCTGAGGAAGTAGTTTTAGGATCTGGGATGTAATCAGGTCGTGCTTAGGAGCTTTGCAGGAAGGTAACCTGTGAATGATGTTGGATATTTTTGAAGGATAAAAGGCTTTAGGTGGAAGATCCATTTGGAGTGGTATATCCAGTTTTGCTTCAATACATTCAAGGTGATTTGGGTTAAGAATATAAGAAATGGATGTGGGTTAAAGGTTTTGAAGAGGTGGTGAGCAAATATTAGGGGTTTGGGCTTCGGTAAGAAGTGGATGATTACAGTCTTTAAATTTCAGGAGCCTTTTAGTGGTCGTCCACAGTAATTTGTTGGTAGGTGTAAGTTTTTCAATAAAATTTAGTAAATTTTGAATTTTGTATTTTCTAATTTCTGATTTTACTTTATTATTCAGTTAGGTGAAATGCGCTTTATCTGTTGGGTATCTAGTTGTATGCCACTTCGATCTTGCTCTGCGTTTTTCCTTTAATAAGATATGAATAAGCTGTGGCAAGTTAGTCTTTTGTGAATTGTTAATATTTTTGACAAAGACGTGTTGGATGTACCACTCATGCTATATGCCTAACGTTATGTCCTATTTCTTCCAGATCAGATTTGATAACAGATATGGGAGTGGTTGAGTGCAAGCCTTTCAATACCTTTCTTGTCTCAGTTGATAGAAATAAAATTCATATTTTTTAGTCATAAAATAATTTATGAGTGTTTTATAATTTTCTTTAGAGCTCGTGTTGATCTTAATGTCATTTACTCTAGAAAAACAGTGAAAACTGGTTTGTCTGATATTTCTTGAACAATTTCTTCTGAAGTTTGTTGAACATGAGATGAAATTTTCAATTTTAAAAACAAAAGTATGGTGCGGCTTGGGATCAGTAAAACCTTGAGGCTCTGGAGGCTTGTTTGGTGAGTTAATACCAGGAACAGAATTATTGCGGGCTGTGGTACTTGGTGCAGTTGGTGCTGTTTTTGTGGTATTTGATTTGCTTCTAGTTTTTGGTGGTGCTTCTAGTTTTTTTGCTCAGCAGACTGTTTGGATTTATATTGTTCAGCTGTCTGTTTAGATCTTGTTGATTTATTTTTTTTCTTGTAGGTGAATTGGCAGAGTTTCTGTGACTTTTTGAAGCGACCGTCTTTTCAGATATTGCGAGTCAGTTTCGCTAACTACGGAAAATGGTGTCTTGTCCTCTGAATCTTCACATGAAGAGTTCACGTCCAAATTCATATCTTCCATTTTAATGATAAGAGGAAGAGAAAAATAAATAAATATATATATACACGCCTAAATACTGTAATTATGAAGATAAAAGTTTACAAAATAAATTATTTTAAAAAAAATATTTACAAACCTAGAAACAGAAATAAAACAAAACATTTCTGAGAATAAATAAACAAGAAAAGATAAATAAAATAAAACTGTCTCTGGGAGAAAAAAAAAAAGAAAAATCTATGAGTCTTTGGTTTCGAACTGAGACCAGCAGAGGAAAGAGAGTGTTCAAATCTTGGCCGTGAACTTAACGTAAATAAGATAAGAACGGCAAGGAAATTAACAGCCACTTGGGCTACCCAAACGAACACTAATTTATCACTTTATTGTTAATAAATTGTACCTCACCTATTTATACGTGAACTTAAAAATGTTCAACTGTTTATAAAGTCACTGTTGATAAAGTTTTAATACAGAGTTTTGACTAATAAACACATAACAAAGTAATAATCACAGAGCGATGTGAAAGCTAAACTGCAGTTGCAGCCATGACTCTAAAAAAATTAAGTCTATACTTTTTCATGTATAATTTTATCTTGGCTATTCAACACTAATTATTTGTTTTTTAGCACTAAAAATTGTATAACTTATTACCAATACTGTTATAAAATAAACAGAGTTGGGCAAAAATTATCTGATTGACGAATGATGACTAAATTTTAATTCGAAAAAAAAAATATTCACAACTAATGAATTATGTTTTATTCATTAGTCGCGACTAACATAAAATGAAAAATTGGAAAAAAATTGATTTTTTAAAAGTGATTTCAAACGACATATGACTAAAAATTTATTCATGAATTAATTTTCTTAATTTAAAAATTGATTATAATTTTTTTTTTGTTCTGTTTAAGTGATATGCAATTATATCAAATCCTTAAGGCAGATAAGGATTTTTCCTTGGGAGTTTATTAATTTTTTGAAAATTTTTGGTTTTAGTTATTTTTAATTTTGACATAATTAATATCTATTCATTGTTGATGTGTTTCAATCTACCATTTTAATGATTTTACCCAAGACTTCTCCCGATATCTTTAGCTCTCGCTGTTTTTCGACTGAGGAATCGTGTTAAAAATAATAGAAATTATATTATTTTTACTAAAGATTATATTTCCTGGAATAATACTTAATTATTTTTTTAATATGAAATGAAGCAAATATCCATAATAAATAAAATTAGCAATCGTCGTAGAAGTGAATGGTTTTTTATTAAATAATGGTATACTATTTTTAACAAGTTTGCACCATA